TTATAACAAGGTTGCCAACTTCGTCTGCAAACCGAGAGGCACTGCCAAGAATTTTGGTTGAAGCGTCTCATAAATCTAAACAAACCCCTAAAATCAACAACTCATATTGTAGACTGAATATTCTTTTCATTAACCACCAACTTTCATGAAGGTTAAGGCACTTAAACAGTCGCTATGACCAAGTTTTCGAAAGGATGTCAGGCAACAGTCAGCGTTTTAGCTTAGTGAACGGAAGTGACGAGGAGACGACTTTTTACCAAAATACATAGTTCTGCAGAAAGTCTGAGAAACTGTTTTGAAGTAAACTTTTGAAGAAATGTGGTTGTTATACACTTTAAAAAATGTCTTTTAAATGGATTGGGAGAACAGAGTTCTAAACCGCTGATGCAAATGAAATGTCTCTAATTATTTTTCAAATACCTGATTTGCATATGAGAGTGATGCCCTTTTAAAAATACAATTTATAAAAATATCTTCTTTTTCTTAAATATTTGTGTAAATCTACAAAACATTTAAAAATAAATTTTTGATGAAGAATTCGTACAAAAAAAACAAGAATATATCTATTGTTGATATTTTACACGCATATTGGGTATATGGGGAACATCGGGAATTAGTCCTCTCTTCATTACTTCCGTTCAATAAGCTTTTTACGGAGTTGGCAACCTTGTTGATTATTATATAGAGAATGTAGGGTAGATTTAATAGAACGTTTGTTTTAGGTAATTTTTCGATTTGCTGGTATAGATCATATCACAAATATGGCAATGAAAGATTTTTATGAGAAAAAAATAGAAAAAGCCCAGGGGTCTATATCGAAGGGGGGGGGGGGGGTCCTATCCTCAAGCACCTGTGCTTTATAAGACCGAAATTGAAAGATTATATTCTAAAGAAATTGCTCCATGCTCACATTTAACATTGGAGTTGTTTTAAATGATTAATACGAGGGTTGTCCCATAAAATCGTAGACAAGTTGTCTAAATTAAAAACTAATCAACACAGCGTTACGAAATTTTTACTATAATATAGTATATATTTTTTCAATATTTATAGCAAATTTGAAATAGATATGTGCTCAAATAAAAAAAAAATGACATTTAAAATGTCCTAGATGGTATTGCCTTACGGCGCACGGATAATAACGTCATAGTATTTGTTTGCACGTCACCAACTTTCTACACCTTCTCAAAATAATTTCCTCCGTTGTCAATGCATTTCTGGTGCCTGGACATCCATTTATTAAAAACATCTTAAAACCACTGACAATTTAAGGTCTTGTTGTATGTTCTAATTTCATACTTAATTTCATCACGACTCTCAAAACGACGACCTCTTAAGTAGTCTTTTAACTTTGGGAAGTATGCAAAATCCAATGGGGCCAGATCCGGTGAGTACGGAGGATGCTCTATTCTTTGAAAACTTAACATGTCCTACTCAAATTCTGTGCGTTTCGACCGATGACTTGGGGCATTATCTTGGTGAAATACAATGTTTTCAAGATTCTCTGCAAGATGTGGGCGCTTCTTGCGTATAGCATGCAACAAATCCCGGCGAACTACCTGAAAAATGAAAAAAAAAATCGTTAATGCATTTTCAAAGAACAAATAATTAATTTGATTTTTGGCTTATCAGTGCCAAAATACCTATGTATACACAACGGAATGAAGAAGTTATGATTTATTATAATATATAGTAGTATACAAATGTTTTTTTTTAATTATTATGATTAAATAGGCCCTTATGAAATTTTAAATTTAATTTTCTTTTTACATGTACCCAAACTAGACATACCTTGCAGTAGTAATTTGTATTCACCGTACAGCCATTTTTCACCATATGAACCAAAATAACCCCTGATATATCCATAAAGACCATGCACTTCACTTTTCCCATAGACCTGACAACTTTTGCTTTCTTCGGAGGGGGCTATCCTGATTCTTCCAAACCATGGACATCCGCTTACTTTCAGGTTCATAATAATGGACCCACGTCTCGTTTGTTGTGATTATTCTGCTCAGAAAAGTTGGATCGGCCCTACAACGGTCCAGGAATTGGACTGATGTTCGAACACGAGTTGCCATCTGATCCTCAGTAAGTAAGCGAGGGACCCATCCTGCACATACGTAGGACATACTAAAGTTCTGTGTTAATATTCTATGGACGGTGCTCTTATCACATCCAACTAAACTTGCTATCTCCCGAACTGTTCTTCTACGGTCTGTGTTGACGGTATTTTTTACAGCAGCCAGTAGTTGTTTGTCTGTATGCGTCGGTCTCCCACGGGACGCAGTACCTGAAATTCCACTCGAAAATCGCCCATGCCACTTGTAAACTAAAGATCTTGAGACATTCATATATTTTTCAGTCGTCTTAAATTGTTTTAAGGTCTGTACAGGCGTCATTCCTAAATCTACACAAAACTGGCTGGCATTCCGGTGCGCCGTAGCGTCATTCCGGTGCGCCGTAGCGTCATCAAACGTCGACAATTTAATCCTTTTCTGTGCAGTACTATTGCATTTCAAATGCTCGGTAAACTGATTAAAATGACGCAATCAACATGAAATTTTTAAAATGACGTCATAATAGACCAGAAATTTAGATAAGATAATTTTTGTCACAATTTAATTCGAATAATAATTTTTAATTTGAAATATTGCGTTTATCATTCTCAGGGAAAATTATCCGTTTTTGGTGGTGCGCCGTAGGACCATACCTTGCGCATATTAAGGCACAATAAAATCCTTATTCTTGTTTATTTTGTACCATAAAAAGTAAATTATACTCATGAATGATAAATAATTATTTGCTGAAAATTTCAGCCCAGTGCGTCCATTATTTTCCGAGAAAAACGCTTTGTCCACGATTTTATGGGACAACCCTCGTAGTTGCTTCGAATACCGTACAAACGCTTTGACGTTTGCATGTACATAAAACACTTTCTGATAATATTTGGGGGGTTAAATAATAATTGCACACCTCTCCTGCTGTCTAAAACCAAGGACCTATAAACTACCTGCTAAAATTATGTACACGTATATCACGTGCAAAATAATCAGTGTTTTATCGACACGATAGTCCTGTACCTCTCTTTGAAAAATGGTTTAGGTCGATGTATTATAAGATGATATAAGGCTTCATAAAGCAAATTTTGTAAATGTGAGGATAGAAGTGAAAGATTGTACATAATTTTACAATATTTCTTTCATAAATCTCAAAAGAAATTGAAAATAGATTTCCGAGGGACAATTCAAGTTGCCTTTTATTTTCAACACAGCTAGGTACTTGTAGTAGCCCACAATGCATTACGGCTCATTCAGTAGTAGGTAAAGTAAACAGGTAGCTAATTTACATGCAAATTTATTCTGACGTCAGAAAATCTATTGGTCTCGACCTGTTGAATATTTAATAAGTTGACTTGACTAAGTATTTTGTAATTCACAGATGCTTGTGGACCTAAGTTCAAAATAAATCGAACCATCTTATTTTGACAAATTTGTAACTTTGTCTTTAAAGTTTTGGATAGCCCTGCATACCAAGCTCTAAAGGCGTAATCAATATGACATTGTATTAATGCCAAACAGAGTCATTTTACAAAAAGTATTTTAAAACGGCCTTGTCGGTACAGAAATCGTAGTCTATGATTTGCTTTCTGGACAATCGATTCAACAATACATTCGCCACTTAAACAGTTATCAATCAAAACTCCAAGATAATTAACTCTTTCTTTACAATCATCATATGGTTATGACATACAACCTGGAGTTTTTCAACATTGAGAAGCTTTCTTTTGGAACCAAATAAAATACATTCAGAATGTAACGATAATTTATTATCTACAAGCTATTGCGAAGTCTGATCTAAAACTTTGTTAAGCTTTTCTGATATAAAATCAGGATCTTTATGTGCAAATAAAAAAGCACTGTCATCAGCGTATAAAATAAGTTTACAATCTGCGTCAACACTAGTGACCATGTCATAAACATAAATTAAAAATAATAAAGGGCCTATAATACTGCCCTTAGGTACACCACATGTGATAATGCCAGCATCTGATGAAATTCTATTGCTTTGAACAAACTGTTTTCTTTCAGACAAATAAGATAAAAACCAATTTACAGATTGAACACCAATTGCTTTTAGTTTTTTACAAAGTACGTCATGATCAACAGTGTCAAATGCCTTTTGAAAATCAAGCATAACCATTCCACTATATAATCCCTTTGCTGTATTATCAACAAAAATAAGTTGAATTAATGGCCTGTAGGGATGTTAAAACAAAGAAAACACATTTAGTTTTACCAAGTTAGGCTTATAGCTTCTCACAACAAACCGGGTCCGTAGGACAATATAATCAAGAATGTACTGTCTAAGCTTGTTCAATCGAGGGAGTTTTAATATCAGTTATTTTGTGTCACAGACACTAGTCTTGTTTCAGTAAAAAAAAATAGCCCATAGTACAATTATTATACTAGTATGGGTTAAAATAATTTGCTCCGTGGTTACATGTACCCGACAATGTATTTAATAGCATATGCTCGGTAAAACTGATTGGAAATTATAGAATACAAATAAAAATTATATTAATTATTATTGCAACGTTGACTTGCCATATACCCACTCTCCAGAATCACACTCATTTACACTTTGAGAGGAAATACACTGGGAAAATGTTTATTACCATTATCATCTACAATAATTTATCTACTCAGGCATGAAGCAACGATTGCACCATTATGCAATGTACATAGGTTTAATAGAAAATTTTCATACAAAACATGGCTGTATTTACATAGACTACAAACTACAAACTCTTGTAATATATTGTAAAAAATAAATTACAATGATATATATTTTCTCACTCTCTGCATCATATTCTAAAAATAAGTCTGTCTCTTATTTCATTATTATATACATCATCGACAAATCTCATATATCAGCACCTATGGCCAATCTTCTGAATGTACTCTCAGATGGATACTGTGCAGAATAATGCTATGTTTTCACTGTGGATACATGTATTTGATTTTTTTCACTTGTGTGTTTAAACTTTGAGCAACAAACAAATTATCATTTGTATCTACAGATAGTCCTATGGGTTTACTCAGTCCACATTGTATGTTACGGAGGAACTGTCCATCCTGGTCAATGATGTGGACACATTCATTCTTATAATCAGCTGTAAGGATGTGACTCTGACTGTCTGAGGTGATTTCTAACGGATCAAATGGTTGGTTCTTTGGAGTAGGAGTATGTCCAGTGTACCTGAATCTCAGTTTCCCGGCCTGATTGACCACCACAACTGCTTTAGCTCCAATGTCAGACACACAGATATCCAGGTTCCTGTTCTCAGTTACGTATCTGTAAAAACTTCCAAATGAATAGAGAGCTTTCCTTTACTTTTTAACTGAATGGTTTGTTTCTCTTTGGAGCCAGAGTAACGGACAACTTTTGTTTGCTTGCAATCATTTCTTTCCATGATAACCAGGAGGTCACCAGAGGAGGCACTATAGATATCTATAGGTTTCTAGTCGTTAAGTCTGATCACCTCCTCTATCTTCTCATTCTTTACAATGTTCACAGTTCTATTCGTGTCAGTATAAACTAGATCTCCGTTTTTCGACACTGATATGTCATATGGTCTATTCCCTGACTTGGTTGTGATTGACTTGAGTAGTGATCCCTGATTGATGCTGTAGAGTTTCATGGTGTTATCATCCCCACATGACCAGATTTCTTTATCACTCAGACAGGCCACACTTTCAAGGTTAGTTTTGTACTTTGTCTCTATGGTGGTTACAGTCTCTGGTTCATCAAGCAGCTGTTTGATTGGAGGAGAGGATCCAGCTTCTGGTGATTTCTACGTTGTCTTCATGCTGTAGCCATGTTCATCTGAAGTTAAAGAATTTGTTGATAAGGATCCAAACAGTTGACTAATGTTTTCTTCTTGAATTCGTCCTTCAATGAATTTAGGTATAGACGGCATTTTTTCTTGGTTTAATGTGGAAGCTTTCTGTATATGTCTACATTTAATTTGACACTAAACAGTATTGACAAGTCAACAGTGTCTATGGTGATTTTAATTGAATCTATTTCATTCTTGATATCAGCCATTGTCTTGTTTATTTCAGCCAGATGTTTCTGTAGAGTTTGTAACTGTGTGTTTTTCATCTCATCACCTTTAGCTTTAAGTTTCTCGACAAGATTGTCAATTTCTCTGTGCCAGGATTCTCCATGTGTTGTTATGGCTATTGAAAGATCTCCATATTCCTTTTCTAACTGACTCATTCTGTTTTGTACATCAGAGGCAATGTTCTGGTAGGTTGGGTAAATGGTTTCATGTAATTCGGTTCGTTTTTCAAGTATCGTACTCTTTTGTTTTTCCAGAATTTGCAAAATTTTAAGTAACTTATGACCTAGATGTTTGTCAGATGTAAGGCAAGTATTGCAAACAGGCATGTCACATTGTTTACAGTATATTTCAGTATATTTCACATCGTTCTTTGCTATGAGTTGCACATCCAGGGTAGAGGGGAGTAGATTTCCTGGACTGAAACCTGACAACCTTGTGGTCCTTAGATTCATTAGATATCATCATTCATGTGTTTCCCTACACAAGCCGTACATAGATTGACAAGACATGTATCACAGTGCATCTGTACCACCTCGGTCTCACACAGGTCACATCGCAACACGTCCTGGGCACTGATACGGGGGTCCATCATTAGAAGAAGGTTATCTTAAATATAAAAAAACCCATTAATTTCTAAATAGTAATTAGATAGGATTAGAAAAAAATATTTCTATTTTTAGGCTTAAAAGCATTATGAAGGTTATGGGGATAACGAACAGTATTCAATCTCAAAGTCCATAAAACAATACAAAATAGGAGCAGAACAAACACGAAATATCAGAGGTGTTATCCGGTGCCATGGAGGAGTGAGCATCCCCTGCTGACAGCTATACATTGTGATTTTGAGTTCGAGATTATATCAGAAATTAGAAGTCCTAAGTTAAATCTAAATATCCTCCAAGGTTAAAGTGTTCATCTTTTTATCTGAATAATGTTTAAATTTACTACTCCTCCTAATGTAAGATGATTTGACTTATTAAATTAAAATTTGATACACATGCAGTATACACTTATTTATACAATTCAGTCTGTATGTAGGTTTTTATGTAAATGCATTGTTTAAGAATTACAAAAGAATTTTTTTGTGATTTTCAAAATAGTTTTATTCATTGTTTTAAAGGGTTTGATACGATTTTTCTAAAATGATAAACACAAGTAAATTACAAAATTAAATATAATTTCAATGATTGTTTTTGTCTAATTACAAAAAAAAAAGCGAAATTTCTTTGTAAAATTCCATTCCCTCATAATTCATTTAATATATAATTCCTATAAATGTTGGTACACAAGTACCTAAGTCAAAACTATTTCTATCCTGCATTCATAGATATAGTATTTTAGAGTACCCCATCTTGTTTGACTTCATAACAACATTGTGTATTGGTCGCAGTCCCGTGACACAGATATAGAAGACGGACCGTTTAATGTGAAAATCAAATATATACGAGGGGTGATTAAAAAGTTCGCAAACTAATTGAATAACTTTCGTTTCATAAAAGAAACAGTATTTGGTTTCAGCGTTGATTATATTTTAAAATAATCCTCTCCGATTTTAATGCACATCTGCCAACGTTCTGCTCGTGCGCGAATCACATGATATAGGCGGTCATTTGCCCCCCTCCGTAGCGTTCTGTCAAAAGAGCTGCATGAATTTTTTGAGTTTTATATAATCTTTCCATGTTAGTTAATTTTTATTACAAAAATAATATATTTATTCGACATGGTCATGTTTCGGCAATAGAATGGTTGGTTAAGAATGGCCTTTCCAAAAATAAGCAGAGCGACCATCAAAACCCTAATTTTCTGTCTTGAGAGAGACGTTTATTAAAAGTGGATAGAGAATGGGTGCCTCCTTTTTATCGTATCGAATATGTTTAAAATCTAAAGTAAACAATATCTTAAGTATCTAATATTTAAATTTTTGTTGAAATAGTGAACTATTGTTCAAGGTCTTTGATAGCAAATTGCTTCATAAAAAAACACATCTCGTTTTAAACTTGCTTTTATTAGACAATATAACAAGTATTATTTTTAACCATCAGCCTTCCCTCACTAAAACGATCAATTAATCCAATCATTGATTATTTATAGGAAGTTATTTGTCTTTATAAGCTGTGCACACATTATTATACGCTCTTTCAAAGGTGTTTCTAAGATATACCATAAATTTTACAGTCGTTTGTTGCACGAGTACGCCTGAGACAACAATTTTTCGTCACCAAAGACGTACATAGTGACGTAATTTTCGCATTGTGACGCCACATAAAAAGGAGCAAACCTATTCAATATATGCTATTTATAGAATTTGATTATGGCTATGTGTGCATCAAATTTTATTTCTAATCTGATTTGTGTATCTAGAGATAGTTCGCGAACTTTTTGATCACCCCTCGTATTTCAAAAAAAATAGTTTCATTTAGACTACACATTCAAGTACAGATCATGTATTGTGTAAATTTCAAGACAGGGCACAGTAAAACTTTCTTTGAAGAGTTCTAGATAGATAAAGTGAGCAGTAATTTGATGTTTTATTCAATCTATTTAACTGTGAAAGCTGAGTTTTCGAGAATTATCTTACCTTTTTATGAATGAGTGATGACGACCGCCCAGTTGTTTATTTGATCAAATCACCTAACTACCGTCTAGGTACCTGTATGTTTTAATGATCAGGTGTTTATACTTTCGGGTTTATGTAGGTTTATTTTAAAGCTGTCTTGTTTTTGCACCTCAGTATTTGAACTTTCCAATACACAGTGCTACATTGCGTTTATACGAGTACTTTTATATTCAAGGGGGTTTTAAAAATAAGGACTTATTTGTTTAAAAATACCCAGTCAAACCTCAATGCTTGTAGTTTGATTTTGTACGTTAAAAAACTTAAGGTAGGGCACAATAGAAAGGCCAATATTTTCCTCAAATTCAATTTTTCTGAAACTTTGATATTTTGTTTTAGGATACAATATCTCTCTTAAAATATAATATGAAAGAAATTCAACCACACATATTTTGTCCACATTGTCTGAAATGTGGCCTATCAGACCCCTGTAAGAAGATTGTGAAAACAGACACTCGACTTGAGAATGAGCCATATTTTAGAATTATCAATTGATCTATTGCAAGTTTGTGTTATAATTTTGATAAAGATAACCTTTTTGTTACTTTAAATTAGTAAGTCATATTGATACTGGATCATCTGAGAAAATTTTTAATTAAAAAATAAACATAAACAACGTCAGAATTAAAGATTTACTTGTAAATATCATACATTTAAAGTTTACTAAAGAAAAAATGTATGAATCAATTTTTGCAAAAAATTAACAGAATGATTAAAATGGGTCCCAGAATAAAAAGTTTAAAATAAAGAAAATTTAACCCGTATTTTTTGATATTTTGGCGATTAAAAAAAATTAAATGGCAAAAAAAACCCTAAAAGATTCAGTAGATGACGTCACAATATTTGACCTTTGACCTCATAATATGACCTTGACTTTTATAGAATAAAGACTCCTTAGATGTGTGTCCAAATATCAGCACTCTTCTATTTATTGAACAAAAGTTACACTGCATTTTATATCAGACGGTTACATTCTTGTTTATTACACTAAGATAGCGTAAACACATTCCAAAATGTAAGCTTCCAAGTGACCAATATATAGGCGTTCTGATTTTTTCACAAAATATGACGCAATCATGTCAAAACTTGTATGTTTTCTTACAGGGGTCATTCATTGTTTTCAATATAGTAATATCATTCTTTTTCTCCAGTATTTTTTAAGAAAATAGTAAAAATAGAATCCAGGGATGTTTTGTACTACCTTAAGACATATTTCTTTTACAGTAATGTGAAACGAAGAATCATCCCACTTATTCTATGCAAACGGCCAGTGGTGGGCACTTTTTGCTGGTATCAAAATATGTAAATTTTCATTCATTAGCTGCTCAACGTCCCCTTTATTTTTAATTTCCTTACCATCCTTCCTTTTGTTTCAGTAGAAATTTAGAAAATTCTTGCAATCAATCCATCCCCTTTCGTTAACTTGCACACTAATTATCTTTGAAAGTATGTCAAATATGCCAAGGTATTGACAGAAATGCGTATTTTTAAAAATTTTAAATCTCCCACCCCCTATACACACACCCTTACACAAAATAGTTTCTGATGTAGTCCATTTATTACGAACAATACTTTCTAAAAGACCGTATTTATTTTTATATCTATATTTATTATAGATATCTATTATCTATTATTATATTTATACATCTTCTCGTATGGTAAACATGTTTCCAATATGTTGGAAAGCCATTATAGTAATATTTCATGCACATGGTCAAGTATCAAGTAGACAAAAACAAAGTGTAACATTTTTGATGACTTAATATCATTAGACTTTAACTTTCTAATTACTTTGGAAATTGATTACTTTATAATATGCAGTATGCAGTGCTCAATATACCCTTATCATAAGCAAACGGAAGGTATACGAGGGTTGTCCCAAAAAGTCGTAGACAATGTTAATAAATTTTTAATTATGCAACCAATACTTACCAAATTTTGCAAAGACATAACAAAGTCAATGTTCTTTTAAATCGTGAATTTTTAAATACATATCTTTCATATTAACAATATCAGTACGATTTATATGAAGGCCGATAAGGCCTGTCGGCGCACGGACAAAATTTGGAATAATTTACGCATATAACTATTACATTTGCTTTCATTTCTTTAGTACTATATAATACATTGAACTCAAATTTACATCACTGAAACAAGAATAAAAATCTTAATATTATGTCAAAATTTCACATAAATATCATTAGAAACAGACGATTGGTGTCATGATTTTCACAGTATCGATGAAATTGAGTTTGATGAAAATGACGTCGTCAAACGCGTAGTCGGCGCACGGAGATGTAATAAATTGTGTTGGATATGGTTAATATACCATATATGAAAAAAAGTACAGAAGTGACATTTCACATTAAGAAATTATTTTTAAATTGCACGATATTCAATGAGAGTTTAAAATTCTTCTGTACCGAAAATAGTTAATTACGGCATGAAAGAAGTAGAGTAATGTTTGATAAACGCAGACAATTTGAAAAAATCTGGACCGCGAAGGACGTCAAACAATTTGTATTCTCTGCTGCCTACAATGTAAGACGATCTTTAGACTAAATTTCAACTGAAATTTGAATCTTCTTTAAAAAAAAACAAGTAAAAAAGATACGGACAGTAGTGAATTTAAATATGTCCGTTAATCAAGAGTGGTCTTTCTCTTAAAAAATTATTGAATGTTAATACCCGCGAGTGAAGCAGACAAAGATACCACGACGTTATTAGAGACGTAATTTACGCTTGCTTCTGTGCGCCGGTGTACACTCTTATTCTTTATTTATTTTTTCATAATTTTCTTATAAGATGTGCTATCATCATGAAACTTGAAGTGCATGATCATAAACTCTTACTCTTTGCTATGACAAGAAAAGAAATTCAATAAAGCAAAGAGAAACAAAACTGTTTTACCTGTCTACGACTTTTTGGGACAACCTTTGTATATATGAATATATACATCTCAGTTGATTTGATACGCAAGAGCATGTTCTATGTTTGGGCAATTTCTTAACTGAGTTAACTATTAAGAGACAAGTTGTGATAAAACAAGAATTTCAACAGTATCGTTTATAGTCTTCATTTCGTAATTTTTGTTTTCATACTAATCAATTGTTAATCCATCAAGAAGATGCTTGAGTTTCTGATTGACAATATCTATGCGGTTTTTGGAGACCAGGTATTCCAGTCTATTGGAATTTCCATGGGTACAAATTACGCTCCGTTATTGGCAGACTTATTTTCATATTCATATGAAACAAAATTTATGCAAATCTTATGTATGAAAAGAAGAAAACAATTGCTGTGGCCTTCAACTCGACATTTAGATATATCGACGACGTATTGTCAACTAATAATGATAATTTCCATTCCTACGTCGATACGATATATCCTGGTGAGCTTGAGATAAAAGATACCACAGAGTCCGACACTTCTGCTTCATGCTTGGATATTTTATTTGAAAAAGACACTAATGATAATCTAACATCCAAGCTATATGATAAACGTGATGACTTTAACTTTTCTATCGTCTACTTCCCTTACTTATGCAGCAATATATCTTCATCACCAGCATACGGAGTGTATATATTTCAATTGATTGGATACGCAAGAGCATGCTCTACGTACGAACAATTTCTTAAACGAAGTAAATTATTGACAAGCAAGTTGATTGAACAAGTTTATCAGCAGTCTCGTTTAAAGTCATCATTTTGTAAGTTCTAGCACATACAGCAAATAAAATTTATCATTGAGTCAAATGCTGACTGGCGTTTTTCAAACCAATTTTTAGTCCATTATTTATACACTGAACTGACGATGGATTTTTTCCGTTATTTCCTAAAAATGACAACGAGGACATGGCTGGTGTGACCAGTCGGCAGGGGATGCTCACTACCCCATGGCACCTGATCCCAGCTCTGATGTTTCGGGGGTCCGTGTTTGCTCTGCTCTTATTTTGTTTATTGTTTAATGGACTTTGAGATTGAATACTGATTGTTATCTCCATATCCTTCTCATACACTGCATAGAGGACTGACTTTTCCGATCGTGACAATGAGCAAACGGCGGGTGTGACTAGTCGACAGGGGATGCCCACTCCTTCATGGCATCTTATCCCATCTCTGATGTTTTGCAATTCTATTTTCGCTCTGCTCCTATATTGTATTGTATTGTGGACTTCTTGTTTTGAATGCTGTTCGTTATCTATATATGTTTCTTTCATTTTATTCTGATTAAACACTCTGATTTTTGAACCAACAAACAGACATGCCAAAAACGTTTCCGATATATAAAGGCTATATACATGTGGAGATCCTTAAAACATTTTTAAAAAAAACTCATCATTTACCGCACATTTTTTTTTCTTTCTCGCACACTTGACATGGAAAAATCATACTTTATGCCATGTAGTTGCAAGCCATGGGTTTTGTGTCTTTGCGACGATAACTTTATGGGTGAAAGAATGCTCAGTCTGATATAAAAAGAAGTTAAAATGTTTTTTTGATTTAAACATGCTAGTATATGAGATACTTTTAAGGTTTACAAATGAGTTTACACAGCCTTGAGATTTTGTCCAGCCCACATGTAAATTACATTCATTATGGGGTGAGCACAAGCATATCTTACACAAACTTTCGATATATAATTAGTCACATGAATATTAAAGCATATAACTGATAATATCAATTCTTCTGTTTCTATATTGAGCAACAAGTAGCAAATCATTTTTATCAGTACACAGACCCCAAGGAAAACTCATGCCGCATTCTACATAACGGAGAAATTGTCCGTTCTGGTCGATTACGTGAACACAGTGATTTTCGATATCAGCTGTAAGGATGCGACTCTGACTGTCTGTAGTGATTCCTCGTGGACTAAAGTTCAGGTTTGTTCTTTGGAGCAGGAGTAAGGCCAGTGTATCTAAATCTCAGTTCCCCGGCCTGATTGACCACCACTACTGCTCCAGCCCCATGGTCTGATACGCAGATATCCAGATTCCTGTTTTCAGTAACATATCTGTAAAAATCTCCTGATGAAAATAGAGGGATACTATACCTTTAAAAGCAGAAATGGTTTGTTTCTCCTTGAAGCCAACATAACGGACAACTTTTGATTGTTTATAGTCAGTGCTGATCATTATTACTAGGAAATGACCAAAGGAAGCACTGCAAACTCCGTGAGGTATCCAGTTTTCTAATCTGATAACAAGGAACTTTTCTTCATCTTTCAGAATATTCACAGATCTTTCATGATAATCAGTATAAACTAAATGTCCGGTACTTATGATTGCTATGCTTTCTGGACGATGGCCGGACAATGTTCTGAATGCCTTCAAAAGTGCTTTCTGATCAGAATGAAATACTTTTCTAGAGCAGTCGTCTCTGCATGTCCAGATTTGTCTGTCAGTATAGCCTAATACGTTATAAAGATTAGAGGTATATTGTGTGCCTACGCTGGCGATGATCCCAGGTTGTGGAAGAATCTGTTTGATATTTTTTGATGTTATTTTATCCGCATCAAATCTTAGCGACCCAATCCACATAGAGACTAGCTCCTTTGGAACTCGAAGCGGGGAAACGGTTGGTAATCGTATTTCTACTTTAGGAATAATCTTCATTTCAAAGTCTGTTTGAAACTTAAGGGATTTAGAAATATTATTTGATTTAAGGATGTCATTTATTTGTTCCATATTTTGTTGCACTTTTTGAATATTCTGATTTATTTTGGCCTTGCATCTTTTTATTTCATCCTTGTGTTTATTTTCCACATTTGTTATTTCAGAAGTCAGGTTATTGAAATGCCGTTCGATGGCGTTGTACCACTTCCTTTTTTGATTAGAGATATCTGTTCTGAGATTCTTTAAATCCGTTTCAAGTTCAGACTCTTGTTCTTCTACTTTAGATAAAAGAATTTTATACTTCTCAGCAAAATCTGTATTAAGTTTTTCCATATCTGATTTAAGGGGGATGTACAAGCCAATTGGATCTAGTCTGGTGTGAAATAAGAAATGCCAAGAATGCGCTTAATACTCGTCTAAACTAGCCCAAAGTTACTCAAAGTGTTAATGCACTAGTCACCTACTGTTAGAGACCAAAATTAGTAAATAATTAAGTTTATTTTGTTTTAATTAGGAGGAAATTAATCATTGTAGAACTGCGCAGCTACAGCATTCACAAGATGAAAAATGCATTGAAAATGGTGTTAGTTTGATTCATTGATAATATGGCTACAACCATTTGTTTCGCTTTTTTCTTGTCATTATCTAGAATTCTTGAAAATTTGATTTTTCATATGTGTGTCTTCCTGAGACCATGTGTTTATTTCGTCCGCCATTCCTCTGTCGCACAGAGTTCGAATAACATTGATTTTAGAATAAATGCGACCATAAAAACATCAAGACAAGAAATTACTTAGTAATAATCATTAGGTAATATTACTTACTACTTTTATTTGTTGCATCGCTTCGTCTGATTAATGAAAAAACGCGATTTTAACCCCACTCCAGCAAATCGGGAAAAACTGTTCTGTTCACAGCTCGAGTTTCCTAGTAAATATTAATACACTGAGCACGTGCTTGACATGTGCATATATCTGCTGTGGATAGATGCGTTTATAACCATGATTATATTTAATTTTTCGTGGAACAAGTCTTGATAATTTGTTGGTTTCTTTAAAACTCAAGAAAACGCTAAAAAATGCCCTAAACATATGTGTTTACGTCGGGTCTTTTTTCTGTGGCGATAGAAGTTATTTTGAAATGGGGCACTGCAAGGAGGATGCTTAGCATTTAATTTGAAAATGTTAAACAATATGCGGTGCATGAAAAACAAATTGCAATTACATGTCTTACATTCGAAAAGTTGGTACATATATGTCTATTTTGTTTAGCAGTTAGATAGAAAAAATAGGCAGTTAAAGGATTTCCTTCAGGCACCTCACATAAATAGCGTGATTGTTTGCAATGACCAACACATCGTATGGAGTAATGTTTGGACATAAAAACGCATCATGTCTCATTATGTTGACTACGTTGTAAGCTCTCGATCATTGAACATACGAAGCTTGATAAAATATATAGAGTTGTTTTTTTTTAATTTAGAAGCAATCACAATGTTTGCAAACAAAGGTCCATTGCATATGCTCTGTCTATCATCGCAAAAAAATGAGAGACTACCCCCCCCCCCCCTTCCGAAAATCCTATGTTCTTTTTTCAAAATAGTGCCAAAGATTAAAAAAATTTGCATTACTAAGTATGTGATGGAACATGTACTAGCGTTATAAGACCATTTGTTGTAAATATATTTGGTTGCCCTCTCTCCCGATCTACTGCCTAAAAATGGCCCGACTCAATTTTATTTTACATCCAATTACAGGATTTTTTTTTTCTTCCGTCAACAAATATGTTTGAATTTTAAGGAATTTTTTTTCTCACCATAAATACGGACCCAATAATTTTCCGTGAGTTGGGAGGTCCAGCAAACGTCATTTTAAAGATTTTATAAAATATTTAATTGTGTTGATTTTTTTCTTTACTCTGTAAAATTGTAATTTTAACAAAATGGGCAAATAGAAAAAAATTATTCATTAAATCTCCTAACCCACTCTGAATGCTTTTATTCCTTTTCAAATGTTGCTACGCTGTAATGAAAATTGTAAATGTTTATTTGACAGAGTATATAGGAGGGGGGGGGTGATCAAAAGTAAACGATATCTTAGGTATTTGATAGTTATATTATTGTTGAAATATTCAAGTATTTTTCAAAGTGTAAATTGGAGACCTTTGATAGCATATTGCTTAATTTAAAACAAACCCCTTTTCAAACTTGCTTTCACCGGGCAACATAACAAGTATCATATTCAACCATCTGCCTTCCTTCACTAAAATGGTCTATCCAATCATTGATTGAATTATTAGGAAGTCATTTGTCTTAATAAACTTTGAACAAATTCTTATACGTTACTTCAAATGCAGTTTTAAGATATACCATAATTATTTTAGTTGTTTGTTGAATGAGTTCCACTGAGACAACCATTTTTCGTCACAAGTACCTGCATAATGACTTTATTTTCACATTGTGAGCAAAACTTTATTCGGCATATGCTATTTATAGAACTTGAGTGTGCACCATATTTGTTTCTAATCTAAATTGTGGTTTTGTAGATATAGAGATAGTTCGATCACCCCTCGTACTAGTAGATACTAACACAAGGTTTTTCATATCGATTTTATGTGTTTAATTTCTTTGTGTTTCATTGGTGATAGTTAAACTTTTGATAGATATTATAAGTCATCTGTGGCAAACTTACAAACTCTTAATTTTAAACTTTGATGGTGCTCATTTTTCCTTACCTGGAATCAAAAAGTTTATTTCAATAAGTACACTATTTAACAACTGGTTGATAATAATACTAAATAAATTACTTCAAGCCACACTTTAACACAATTCCTCTTTGAAAAGTGTTCATATTATTTGAAATATTTTTCAACTGTAATTCTCTTCTACATTTAAAGATTGTTATGTCCCTCCATATTAAGAAGAGGTCTGGAAAACAAAATTCTGTGCTAAAAATAGACCACGTGCTGCTATCAATGAACTACTTTCAGGGTTCTTTACACTCTTTTTGAAGACAACGATACCTTGTTTTGAACTTAAAATTATCATTTAAAAGTGCAAAATTTAGACATTTTCTCAACAAATGGTTGTAGAGAGAACATTAATGCGCACTTTGCGTATTTTTTTGGATTTTTTAAGGCTCTGCTGAATTCTGTAGCTGCGCAGTTCTTAGGAGCATATCAAAAGCATTTTTCTGCAAAAGTATAGATTATATATGCACAACATGCATTCAGTTATGCATATTTATTGTATCTTTATCATAAGGGTTTAGAATTTGATCAAAATATAATGTACTTTAGCCATTTGAAGAAATGTTTACATTTTGTTCTCACTGCACTAAATATGGCCGTACATCCCCCTTAAATCGTGATTGCTTCGTCTTAAAAATATCAAAGATATTTGAAAATGTATGATTCTCGTGTTTCCCTGAGATTATGCATTCTATACAAGCTAGAACGTTGCATTTTTCGCAGTGAAGTTCACAAGTTTTCTTTTGATGGGAAGGGCACCGAGGAAAATTGGTAGCTTCACTTCGTAAATAAAAACATACAAACGTATGACATCGGGTGACATCTGATAAGACATGTGTCCCAATGCATGTTCTACAAAGGTTGACATCACATAGCGCGCAGAGAACCTTGACCTCAAAGGAACTACAATTTACACATTGCAGTATTTCTTGGGCGCTAGTCTCTGGATCCATGGTTTTTCACGAATCTGAAACAAAAGGACCCCTTTAATAATTCACCAAATAACCTTAAAACAACTCAGAGAGGCATGTTTAATGTAGACATTTTACTTTTTATACGTTTATCTGCTAAAACCAATTATAAAGACATAAACTTTAAATCAAAATAGATACTTCACCAACGCCATCATAAATGAAAAATATAATCTTCAAATAAAAAAAGCAAAAAATAAAACCCTAAAAAAGCAAACCAAAAGCTGTAATTTGATTTTGGTAAATAAATACCTTTACAGTAGTATTAATATGTAGTGGTGTTTTATTTAAGCATTGAATTCGTATTTTTGGATGTCTTCGGTCCTATAACACACCTGGCCGTGCCGACAAATTGAATACCGCGCGTTAGCGCGGTATGATAATTTGTCGGCATGGCCAGGTGTGTTATAGGACCGATGACATCCATAAATATGAATTCAATGCTTATATTAACATTCTCTAGTTTTCCTTCTTCATAATTGCTTATTTCGTTAATTTTTATATGAATTTAGCGCCCTTCAAAACTGCCGTGTTTAGTAGATGTAAGAGCCGTTTGTGACGTCAAATGATGTTGCATAGTTAAGATACACAAACAAACTTTGAGAGGAAAAAGTGACAAATTAATTCTTAACGCACATTACGCTAATTTTTCAGAGTTATAGTTTTTCATTAAGTTGAAATAAAACATTTTACATTTTGGTGTTCCTAGAGTATTGAAAATGCATATAGTTCCTACTGTGTATTTTAACGCGCGGTGACAAGGTTTCGCGTGTGTTATAGAAATTTGAACGTCGTGAATTTCTAATGGATTTCATAAGGAAAATTACACTGAATGTAAATATATAGTTTATAACGTACTTTTGTCTTACCTGTTATTGTACTGGTGAAGCTCGTATGTATTTGTACAGTGATTTAAATGTTTGTTTTCTGATGTTCATATGACGATTATGTCTGTAATCATTTTTTTATCTATTTGTAGAAGCCTGCCCAATACACATAAAACTTTGAGGGACAGTGAGATTATTTTAATCAGATGAATCCCAAATAAGATAACAAACCTTTATCATTCTCAAATGCAGAGCAGTCCATGGAGACATGATCATCCCCTGCTAACCGGTCTCACCCACCGTGTACTCATTATCATGATCAGGAAATAACACAAAAATCCCTCGACAATTCAGTGTATAAATAATAATCTAACAAAAATTAATGGACTTTTACGAGAAGCGCTGACTTTTACGGTTGACGCATCACTCTCACTAGGACAGTGTACGGAAGCTCTTTTACGATAAAAATTTAGCTCAACAATTAATTTAACGCAAATAAAGGGCTATTTCAAAGCACAGATAAGTTGTCCTTGAAGAAAACGAAAACCACCCTACCCTCAAATCCAGGCCTTCACATTCAAATGATCCTAACATCATTACCATGACCACCATGTACCTCCGTATGTGAATGTTTAAATGTCCAAGTAAATGGTCAACTGTAAAAGTCAGTGCTTCTCGTAATAGTCCAATACTATGAAAAACGTAAGTCGGCATTTGACTCAATGATAAAATGTTTTAGCTGGTAATGACATTGTATCGACCATATAACTTTCGCAATGATGACTTTAAACGAGACAGCTGATACTCTTGTTTTATCAACTTATTTGTGAATAATTTACCCTGGTTTAGTATTGCACATACGTACATTGAGCATGCTCTTGCGTATCAAATCAACTGAGAGATATGAATCCCGTGTGCAGGTAACGAAGATATAATTATATTACCGCATAAGTAAAGGTAGATGAGATGATGATTGAATAGTTAAAGTCATCATTTTTAACATAAACATTTGCAGTAAGGTAATCATTAACGTCTTTTTAAAGTAAAATATCTAAATACTAGTATGGAACAGATGTGTCAGACATTGTAGTATGTTTAATTCCAAGCTCACTGGGATATATCGTCTCGACATAAGAAATCAATGGAAATGAACTTTGATAATTGATAATACGTTTGTGATATTTCTAAAAGTCGTGTTGAAGGCTACTGCAAGAGCTTTTATTCTCAAACATGTATAAAATTCTGGATACATTCTTCTTCATATAAATACAAAGAAAGTACACCGTAAGCAGCATTTATATGATGTTTGTGATTTATTTTGTTCAAATTTCATTATTCTGATTTTTGCAAATAAAATTTTGAATTTTTTAATTTGAGTGATTTACATAATAACTCTAATTGATTCTGCAGTCTTGTTCGTGTTTCTAATAAAAAGAAATTAAAATACGAAAAATTCATCCAATTTGATGTGCACCGCAAAAATTGTTAAATGACGTCCCCATTAGCAATTGTAAACTACATGACAGAGTCAACGACAAGAAGAAAGAGGAAGTGTGATAGTAATTAAGGTACCCTTCAGTACCCCCGTCTTTTTATTCTTCAAATGATCCTACAACTATCATGTGTGTTTTTTTTTAAAACGCCATGTTTTTGTGTACAGAGTAAAAGAACTTGGCTTGTAAGGTAACAACAGATATAATAGTGTCTCACTGATTTTTCTTACGTTATAAGACTAGAGAGGAAACCTGCCTCTAGGTCCTGTAATTTGATACTACATGTAACTGCTTTTATCTCCGAAATGGATCTGTTTATGACCTTACTTGGTCTTAAGTAGTTGTAACATTATGCAAAGAAGGATATGGAGTAACGAACAGTATTCAATCTTAAAGTCCATAAAACAATACAAAACAAGAGCAGAGTAAACATGGCTGGATAATCTCGAATTCGCTGACAACGTGATGTTTTCCCAAAACGAAAACCAGAAGGAAGACAGAATAACATTTTTTTTCTCAATGGAATCTGCTAGGACTCACAAAATGATACAGATAACACACCATGGACAGTACCTCAGTAATGAAAAGAGAGTACCAAATCACCGGAAGTTGACGTCATATTTTTGTCATAAATAAATAATTTGCATGTCCGGATATTCTGGGAATAACGTATTGTCCACGCTTATAAAGATCTTCAGATTCAGACTTGAAAATGTCTATACAGTTTATAATTTTTGAAATCGGTGTGTCTTGTGTTTAGATGCAATACATGGCAATACATTCGGTACAAACAGCGACGAAACAATCCTTGCATAGAAGTTCACATAACTTTTCTTTATGGACCAAGCACTTTGGGAAATCTGTAGGCGTTTTTCTTTGACTGACGCCTACAACTGTGTGTGGCTTAGTCAGTTCTGATGTTACATGTTCCCCAATACACGATTGACAGAGGCTGACTTTACAAATGTCACAGTACAGCTGTACCTTAGCAGTTTTGCATAGGTCACATGACGTCATATATCCAGGATTTTCCAGGTAGTCCAGAGTTGGTATAGGAATTTCCATCTGGGTAAAAACATGCAAATATTCCATTAATCTAGTCATTTTTTTTTCAAATTTAAATTGATGGACTAAAAAATTGAACATCTTGTGAATCCTTATCAGATAATAGCTAATTAAAAGTTCTTGGAATGAATATGTAAAGCATACATATAATTTGAAAAACAAATCCTCAGTTTTTTAATCATTAAATGTTGAATTTCAAAGTTTACGCAATAATTTTAGATCTGATTTCTTGCACATAACAAAAATAACTACCTTATAAATGCTTATTTTGGAAGTCACCCGATTTGGCTATTTGTTCAATATAATCCTAGACAAAATACGAACTTGCTAGATTTTTGGCTTTTCAGTCTCTTTCAATGTTTTGAAAAAAGAACAAAATGTATTGTACTTAGAAGAAATTGGAGAATATGTTTAGATATAAAATGTTTTATTGTCATCATAGGGGGTTTGAGTCTTGCCAAAATGTTGGTGAAATTTGGTTTTTCTCCATTTTTTGCTGGCATCCAACATATGGAGACCACACTTCATTGCTTAACCATTATCTGATTTTCATTCTGAAATGACTTACCTGTGTGCAGGTGTTGTTTAATGGCCAGTGTTTTGGGTTTATGTACCTGTGTCGGGTAAAGATAATATTCCTATCAGCCGGATGATCATCAGTGTCTGTCTGTGTTTATCTCTCTAGGTGTACAGTCCTTGAAGCAGACAAATATCAAATGTATAAGAAAAAACGCTGGAAAAAATTCAACATGGATCTCTGCAATTTATTCCCAGAAAAACATTCAAAGACGAATTATTGATGAGCAAAAATCATTCTTGTTAAGCTGAATGGGAAAATACATGCTGATTTGATATTCAGTTTATTCGTCTTGGGCTTCTCTGGTTTCTGACTAAATGAAACAGTCAAAGTATATTTGCCTATATATTTTGTCCGCCGCTTGAAAAGTGGGGGATATTTATTTTGGTTTGTCCGTCCGTCCGTCTTTAGTCTGTAACGCTTTCGTTTCCACACCATATCTCAAGAACCCTTTGAGCTTTTGCAATGAAATTTAGCATAGCAACTCCCTATGGACTAAAGAAGAACCCTATTGATTTTGAGGTCAAAAGGTTAAAGGTCAAGGTCAAAAATGCGCAAATTATATCTGTCATAAAACGCGATATCTCAATAACCCTTCGAGCTTTTGCGACGAAATTTTACAAAACAACACCCTGTGGCCTAATAAAGACTCCTATTGATTTTGAGGTCAAAAAGTCAAAGTTCAAGGTCGTAAATTTATACATTCTGTCTGTGTGTGTAACACTATCCTCTCCGGGCGATTTTCAAGAAGATTTTCAGCTTTTGCAATGTAATTTTATGCCAAAACTCCCTAGGACCTCTCTCCCCCCTCTCAAAGTGTCCCGCCCGTTTGTAAGAATAAGTATTTATTGTATTACATGTCTCTATTTTTAGCACATGGGCATGAGGAGAGTTATTACGTATAAAACAGGTTTTCGGCTGACTTAATATCCTTTTTCATCTCTTAGAACTGCTTAATAAAGGTTAAATTAGACACCATGCATTGTGTATAAAATTTTGACAATATCGAACGTAAATATATTCATATACGTGACTTCATCCTTGCATACAATAATAGATAGTTTAAAGCAGTTCCTGGTATAGTGGTATGTCACTCGCTTCACATGTGAGAGGACCCGGGATCGAATCTCGGATGATCCATTGTCTTTTTTTCCGAAATACTTTTTTCTTAAGTAAATGATAGTATTCAGAGAACCAGCAAAATTTAAACAAAACTATAACTGGAAGAATTTAAAACGGGGCAAAATTGATTGCAAGTGCAACAAGATGTGTTTGTGAAACACTGATGCCCCCGTATGGCAACATAGCGAAGGTTAAGCTTTCTCAAATGCAGATCAAATATGTTGGTACCAATTAAGGCCTTTTTACAAGAAATGCGAAATATAAAACGCTAGCTACACCTGTTCCAGGGTTATGACCAAGGTTAACATTTTATAATACAGGACAAACTAAATTTCAAGGTGAAAAGGGTCAAGGTTCTTGGGTTCTAAAGAAAGGCTTTGTCTCAATGATTACGTATGGGAAGTATGAAAGCGCTGGCCCTTTCCGTTCAAAAGTTATGACCAAGGTTAAAGTTTGTAAAAGGTAGGTGAAACTCTAAGGTCAAGGTCAAAGGGTCAAGATTCTTGATATCCAGTGAAAGGTCTTGTCACAAGCATTACACATGTGAAATATGAAATCTCTAGCCCCTACTGTTCAAAAGTTATGGTCAAGGTTAAAGTTTGTAAAAAGTAAGTCAAAACTCCAAGGTCAAAGGGTCAAAGTTCTTGATATCAAATGAAAGGTCTTGTCACAGGGATTAAATTTGTGAAGTATGAATGCCCTAGCCCGAACCCTTCAAAAATATGGTCAATGTTGTATTTTTAAAGTAGGTCAAACTCCAAGGTCAAGGTTAAAGGGTCAATGTTCTTGGTATCCAAAGAAAGGTCTTTTTATCAGGATTATATATGTGAAGTATTAAAGCCATAGTAGTTATTTTTCAAAAATTATTGTCAAGGTTAAAGTTTTTTCATAGGTACAAAAATCTCCAAGGTCAAGGTCAAAGGGTCAAGGTTGTTGGTATCAAGTGAAAGGTCATTTAACAAACATTACATATTTAAAGTATTAATGTCCTGGTATCTACTGTTCAAAAGATATGGATAAAGTGAAATTTTTAAATTTTCATGTAAAAATGGGTCGAACTCCACGGTCAAGGTCAAAAGGTCAAATTTGGTGGTACCCAAGAAAGGTCTTGTCACAAGGAATACACATATGAAATATGAAAGTCTAATTTATGAAGTATGAATGCCCTAGCCCGAACCCTTCAAAAATATGGTCAATGTTGTATTTTTAAAGTAGGTCAAACTCCAAGGTCAAGGTCAAAAGGTCAATGTTCTTGGTATCCAATGAAAGGACTTTTTTTCAGGATTATATATGTGAAGTATGAAAGCCATAGTAGTTATTGTTCAAAAGTTATAGCCAAGATTAAAATTTTGCATAGGTACAAAAATCTCCAAGGTCAAAGGGTCAAGGTTGTTGGCATCAAGTAAAAGGCCATTTAACAAACATTACATATGTGAAGTATAAATGTCCTGGTGACCACTGTTCAAAAGATATGGCCAAAGTAAAATTTTAAAATTTTCATGTAAAAGTGGGTCAAACTCCAAGGTCAAGGTCAAAAGGTCAAATTTGGTAGTACCCAAAGAAAGGTCTTGTCACAAGGAATACACATATGAAATATGAAAGTCATAGCTTTACTAAATCAAAAGTTATGGGCAAGGTTAAAGTTTTTGCGGACAAACAGACAAACAGAGAGACAGAGAGGCAGACAGAGAGACAGACAGACAGACAGACAGACAGACAGACGGACACGACAAAAACTATATGCCCCCGAAACTTCGTTTACGGGGGCATAAAAAGGCAAAAGTAACACGGGCGAAAATAACCCTGTCTAGAGTATTTGGCTATCTTACTCTAACTGCATAAAGCTATTTTTATTGTTTTTTATACAAGCAGAAATGTTTCAAAGCCTGGTTTTCGGTTATTTTTATCATTTCCCAGTATGTTAAAAAATATATAAATAATATACATCTTATTAATACCTAGGCGGAAGCCACGGATGGTGAGGTGATGTTTAGCACGAGGTAGAACTACTGGGAACAAATGAAATGTCGAGTTTATTGAAATGGTTATATTTAAAAAAAATCGTACTATCATTAACATACTTCCGTAATTGTCCCCCGCCTTTGCAAAAGCGAGGGGACATTAAATCCCATTCGTCTGTCCGTCGGTCCGTCTGTCACAAAAACTTTAACCTTGCCCATAACTTTTGATAAAGTTGTGGCGTCTCCATATAAGTGAAAAATTCTCGAGAGGGACGTTAAACAATATACAATCAATCAATCGATAAAGTGGAGCTATGACTTTTATATTTCACATGTGTATACCTTGTGACAAGAACTTTCTTTGGATACCACCAAATTTGACCTTTTGACCTTGACCCTGGAGTTTGACCCACTTTTACACAAAAATTCCGAAATTTTACTTTGGCCATAACTTTTAAATGGTAGATACTAGGGCTTTCATATTTCGTATATATTTTCTTTGTGACAATGCCTTTCATTGGATACCAGCAACCTTGACCTATTGACCTTGGAGGTTTCTGTACTTGTAAAAATACTTTAACCTTGGCCATAACTTTTGAATGGTAAGGGATAGGGCTTTCATACTTCAGATATGTAATCCTTGTGAGATGACCTTTCATTGGATACAAAGAACTTTGACCTTCACCTTGGAGTATAACATATGTTATTATATACCCATCAATTTCCTTGTTTTTGTTACTGTTAATTTTACAGAGTTTGATCCGATTTTCCGGATCACCACACTGTGGTTTTCTGAATCCATATCACCACTCTCTGAAACTGATGACGTAGTACGCAAAAACATGATGTTATTTTTCTTGCGCGTTGAAAATCCCTTGTTATTATGCTTTGCTTTATGGATAAATATTATACAATTCATCTCTAAAGTTTTATTTTGCTATATTTAGGCTATATTTAGCTAGTTAGAAGGGGGTATATAATTAATGTATCATTATAACAGTAACTTGATCTGAAGAGCCGTATCATGTCTTGTTGACAGGCGCGGATCATCAAATCACACTCGACGCTTCGCGTCTCGTGAGATCTGAAGATCAGTGCCTGTCAACTCGACGTGATACGACCCTTCGGATCAAGTTACTGTTATAATAATATATATATATATGTCATAAAAAATGACATCTCACCAACAAAGACACCGAAAGCGGGGGACCACAATTCTTTGAATCTGCTTGTTCAGTGAAATAGTTCAGTGTATTTGATACAAATATGATAATTTTCTTTTCTATAAGTTGTGTATTTGGAAATCACATCTATGATATGGTGTGCATTGAAAAATATTGACGAAGAAAGGAACCATACACACCACACAAGCTGTATGAATTATTGAGGGAATATGCTGGACTTGCAGTTTGAGACAACTGGAACTGTATTTGGCTATTAATGGGTGCTACGAAAAGAACTACAAATAGGGTTTCATTGAGTATGCAAAATTAAATATCCTTTACAAACTGATAGCCTGTGCCGTTACAAAAACGGTAAAGGAGATATCATATATCTTTCCTGAAATAAATAAATAAAGTAAAATGCAAGGATTCTTATTTCACTGTTGCTTTCATTGCTTGGTCATCGACACCTTACATTTAAAACAATTGATACGTTACTGCTGCTAAAGCAACAAGTGGTTCAAATCCAAAACAATATGCTTCTTCGTCTCATTAAATACTTACCTAGATAAAGTATTTTATTCCTTTGCGTTTATGTACCCACAATCTTTCAACATAGATAATTATAAGGGTTTTCTATCAAATGAAACATGTGGAGATAACGAATAGTATTCAAGATCAGAAGTCCATAAAAATACAAAATAGGAGCAGAGCAAACACGGACCTCTCAAACACCAGAAGTTGCATCAGGTGCCATGGAGAAGTAAGTATTCCCTGCCGACAGCAGGGAATCGCCGAGTGCTCCTTGTCTTGATCGGGAAATAACAGAAACATCCGTCGACAATTCAGTGTCTAAATAATGGGCTAACAATTCTTAAGAATATCATCAGTCAGTAATAGACTAATTGATGATCTGTAGTTGTTGACAATGTCATTGTATCGACCATAGAGCTTAGGAAATGATGACTTTAAAAAGGACTACTTATATTCTTGTCTCATCACTTTGTCAATAATTTACCTCGTTTTAGAAATTGTTCATACGTAGAGCTTGCTCTTGCATATCAATCAATTGAGATATATAAACTCCGTTTACAGGTGATGAGTGTATATTGCTGTATAAGAAAGGGAAGATGACAAAAGAACGGTTAAAGTCATCATGTTTATCATAAATCTTGGTTGTTTGATTACCATCAACGTCTTTTCCTTGTAATATATCCACATATGAAACAGATGTGTCAGACTCTGTTGCATCTTTTATCTCTAGCTCACCAGGTATATCGTATCGACATAAGAATGGGCATAACCATTGTTAATTATCAATACTGTATAGGGGGAAAATAACTCGCGGTGTTAATATTCGCTATATTCACGATGATAATAAATCCGTGAATTCAAGAAACAGTAAATAATTTTTCAATAATCTCCATGTTTTATTTGGAAATTTGAGAATAGACTGCGATAGGTTTAAATACATTTACAAGTACCACAATACATGGCCATTTCAGTAATTACGAGTAGTACTTGTCAATCAATTATTTTAATTAGCACACTTTACATTTATGCAAGTCAACAGATAATAACCTTTATTTGTTAAAAACCTTTTTAATAGCCAACGCTACATGTTTCACCAATCAAAACACTTGGGCAATGAATTTTGATTACGGTGTGTGCATTACCTGCATTATCATGCATATTATAGTTTTTATCGGCATTTTGAGTTTAAAAAAAAATCACTCAAATAACTATCGAACTTACTGAAGATTTGGAAGGATATTATTTCGTCGACCTACATTAACACATTTATTATTGTCCAGTGGTTTTTCGCAGCGATGTATATTGAAGATCTTGGGGTGTACAAGTCATGCATTCATCGTAATAGAATATAGGAAAGTTATTTGACGTTTAAATTCAAGGTCTTTTGATAACTGCACCTGTTTTAATTAATCGTCAATTATTTATTAAGTCTAACAATTTTATATTAACCTACCCTATTGTTCGTGAAATAAATTCAACAATGATGAATGTCGTTTACATATAGCAATGGACTAAACGGATATAGACAAGGGAGGTAACTTCTATAACATAAGAATTCCGCGAATTCAAGAAACCGCGATTGTGTCCGATGAGAGAAAACCGTGAAAATTACAACCCGTGAAATTAAACCCCTATACAGTACGCTGTCCATATATCTAAATGTCGAGTTGACACGGCGGAAGGCTACATCAATTGTGTTTTACTTTGCACAAATTATTCTACATATAAATACAAAAATAGGTCTGCTAATGATAGGGCAGAATTGGTACCCATAGGAACTCCAATAGATTGTTTTCTTACAAATTAATTTTGCAAATGGCCAATGACAAGGTAAGTAAATTTACAAGTTCCTTTTTTATTGAACAACCATTTGTCAACGATATCAAAATGCCTTTTGCAAATGACCAGTGACAAGGTAAGTAAATATACGAGTTGCATTTTTATTGAAATAGCAGTTGTCAACGATATCAAAATAACTGGACTTTAATTTATCTTTTGGAATGGTTAATATTAGTAGAAACGTCGTATTTTTTAAGCTGCTGTTTTGGTAAAACCTCTGAATTTCAAATTGTGCAAAAATTCCTTGTAATTTCTCATAAAAAAAGCTTGTCAATCAATTATTTTAATTAGCACACTTTACATTTATGCAAGTCAACAGATAATAACCTTTATTTGTTAAAAACCTTTTTAATAGCCAACGCTACATGTTTCACCAATCAAAACACTTGGGCAATGAATTTTGATTACGGTGTGTGCATTACCTGCATTATCATGCATATTATAGTTTTTATCGGCATTTTGAGTTTAAAAAAAAATCACTCAAATAACTATCGAACTTACTGAAGATTTGGAAGGATATTATTTCGTCGACCTACATTAACACATTTATTATTGTCCAGTGGTTTTTCGCAGCGATGTATATTGAAGATCTTGGGGTGTACAAGTCATGCATTCATCGTAATAGAATATAGGAAAGTTATTTGACGTTTAAATTCAAGGTCTTTTGATAACTGCACCTGTTTTAATTAATCGTCAATTATTTATTAAGTCTAACAATTTTATATTAACCTACCCTATTGTTCGTGAAATAAATTCAACAATGATGAATGTCGTTTACATATAGCAATGGACTAAACGGATATAGACAAGGGAGGTAACTTCTATAACATAAGAATTCCGCGAATTCAAGAAACCGCGATTGTGTCCGATGAGAGAAAACCGTGAAAATTACAACCCGTGAAATTAAACCCCTATACAGTACGCTGTCCATATATCTAAATGTCGAGTTGACACGGCGGAAGGCTACATCAATTGTGTTTTACTTTGCACAAATTATTCTACATATAAATACAAAAATAGGTCTGCTAATGATAGGGCAGAATTGGTACCCATAGGAACTCCAATAGATTGTTTTCTTACAAATTAATTTTGCAAATGGCCAATGACAAGGTAAGTAAATTCACAAGTTCCTTTTTTATTGAACAACCATTTGTCAACGATATCAAAATGCCTTTTGCAAATGACCAGTGACAAGGTAAGTAAATATACGAGTTGCATTTTTATTGAAATAGCAGTTGTCAACGATATCAAAATAACTGGACTTTAATTTATCTTTTGGAATGGTTAATATTAGTAGAAACGTCGTATTTTTTAAGCTGCTGTTTTGGTAAAACCTCTGAATTTCAAATTGTGCAAAAATTCCTTGTAATTTCTCATAAAAAAAGCTTTTCAAAAATCATCAAACACTGTTAAACCTGTCTCCACAGAGAAAAATATCCTTTACAACCAAAATAAAATAATGAGCACACGGCGGGTGTGACCGGACAGCAGGGTGTGCTAACACCTCAATGGCACCTCATCCCACCTCTGATATTTCGGGGGGGGGTTGCTCTGCTCCTATTTTGTACTGTTTTATTGAATTGTGTTTGATTGTCATCATAGAAGGTTTGAGTCTTGCCAACATGGCGTTGAAATTTTGTTTTTTTTAACAATGCTGGCAACCGATATTTAAACACACTTTATTGTTTTAATATAATCTGATTTTACATTCTGTAATGACCTACCTGTATACTGTTGTGTAATGGCGTGAACCAGTGTTTTGATTAATTTCATTGATCTAATATTTATGTACCTGTGTCGTGTGAAGATAAAATTCCTATCGGATGATCATCAGTGTCTGTCCGTGTTTATCCCCCTTAAGTGTACCAGGATCAAGAAAATAAGAAAGAACAGTTCCAGAAACAGGCAAATATCAGAAGTGTTAGAGAAAAAAATGTTTGTGGATATTAGACAAATTTTATTGAAGAAAGGTGTACATGTCATGTCAAGCATCAATTTAAGTTTCAACATTGGATATCTGTAATTTACTTCGAGAAAAGCTTTCAAAGACAAATTATTGATAAGCAAAAGTCATTGTTGTTAATCCGAATGGGAAAATACATGCTGACTAGGTATTCGGTTTATTTGTTATATATAAATATCATTTTTTTCTAAGGCCAGATCACTCTAATAGCATAAAAGCTATTTTGATTTTCAAAAAACAATGCAATGAGATGAAGCGTTATTTACCGAACAATCAACACTATATATACAAGCAGAAAAATGTTTTATACTTTGTTTTTCGATCTTTTTTTTTAATTTTCTTTAAGTATGTTTAGAAACTCATGATAATATAATTATTCTAAAGTACAAATGTTTGTGTAGAGAATGCCATCGACGATGGGGTGATGTTATTGACTTGCTGAACGAAATAGAAATACTCAGAACAAATGAAGTATAAGGTTTATTGAAAAGGTTATCAAAAATATACATGTTATTTTGAACGTACTAAGTCTTCCGTAATTCAATATAATAGTATTCATTTTATAAAATTTGAAACATATATGATAATTTTCTTGTCTAAAAGCTGTGTATTTGTAAATTACATTTATAATGAACGAATGCAGTTAGAAACCAATGAAGCTGTATATCCGGCTATTGATGGGACTGTCACGAAATAAGCTACAATAGGGTTTCCTAGAGTATGCAATTTTAAATATCCCTATCCAATGATGTCCTTTGACGTTACAAAAAAGGTAGAGGACTGGGCCGCTCTATACATACCGGGTATAAGTTTACTAAGTGTTGGTGTATGGGGATTGAGCTCGGAGAATTTATTCAGAATTAAAGGTTTTCAAAACATGCAAAAGATTGTTGATCACAAGGTTCTTTCCTTTTATAAATAACAAGATACATAACATATTTACTTCCATCAAGTGAATCTGTAAAAATATACATGTATATGTTTTTCACATTTAATATATAAAGTTGTTTATCAATTACTATCGAAAAAACGACAGGTCCTTTTTTAAATAATAATACGAGGGTTGATCCAAAAGTAATGTCACAGTGTCCATATCTTTTATATTTGGCGTCATATTATCAAATATAATATACCAAAAGATGCACAAATATCAATCTAATTAAACTTTAATTTTTCATTCAATAATGTTTAACTAAATTTATTTTATAAATGTTTAAAACATATAACATAGGGGGTGTCGCCACGTCAAAACCGAACGTCACAAATTAAAGTGTACTTGTATTAGTATAAAAAAAGACAAACACATTAAAAAGCATCTTTTGAAAGCGCCTAAACGCAAAATACTTTAAAAGACAAAAATTTACATCATTTTCTAGCCTTAAATTGAAAATTATATGACATCACTGTTATTTTTTTATGAATAACATCGTTGATTTATTCCGGTGCATTGAAAAAAGGAAATGTCAAAATGGACAAAAAGCCAAAGCAAACTGTAATGCATTTTTGCTTCAAAATGGAGAAATCGCCAGTAGAGACAGTTACGTACGTTGATTCACCAGATTTTCGGAGGAAAGAATGTAAATAAGAAACTTGTTTAGATGGTTTCAGCGACCTTTGGTGGGTGATGGGTCATTAAGGTAGTTCTATACTCGGCACTAAATGGGCTCAATCTTTAAAAATCTGCTTTTATAAGATAAACATACATCCCAGCAATGGATAGAAACAAGAAAAATTATATGTCAACATGTTCACTTTTCTGCTATAGCCTATTGGAGTATATACCCCGAAATGTAAAATGTCAAAAAGACAGACGGATAGAGCGATATGTGAAATTTTATGTTGGTCTTTTACTACTGTTCTAATGAATTTTGACAGAATTAATTATGAAAAGAGTGACTGAACTATGGGAACTAAGGGTAAGAAAGTGAAATTTGTGAACGTGTTCGTGGATATCAAATCTCAAATATTTTTTAATGAAACGAATGGAAGTGTTTAAATGTATGACGGCGCGTATCCGTCCTATGACGTTATTTAGGTGCAGCGGCTACCATAATCGCACGTTGTATATAATTCGCTATTTTGAAAAGTATAAATCATGTTGAATTGACATTTTAAGGCCTTATTTGAAATAAATGTAGCCTTCATCATTTATAATTTTGTTGTTTTACGTCGACGGATAGCGATTTTATCGAAGTTGTGACATTACTTTTGGATCAACCCTCGTATAATTTATTTCAGGACCGTGGAGACCGGTTCTATACCAACGACACGTGTGGCAGTTCGTGTTGGCCCGCGAAATATCCATTTCTTCTCAATGGCCTGAGTGCTGAGTAAAGGTATAATTTGCAGTCCTCCACTGTGAGCTTGTGGTATCTTCATATTATTAATAAATTCTCGAAATTGACGTTAAACAACAAACAAACAATCGAATAGTTTGTTTCAAAAGTGTAATGAAAAGGGTAGACATTGTTTGATTTTTATATCCCTGTAATGAAAGATGTAGGAATATAAAGCTTTCCCTGTTTATCTGTTTGCCCGTTTTTCTAGATATCTGCAAAACTTTATCATTTCCCATAACTTTTTAATGAATGGTGTTTGGACTTTCACATTTCACATGCCCTTCTAAATTCTCAACCGAAACGAGATATTGTTAAATATGTTAATGTTACGCATAAGCTGACCTTGTTTGCAAATATAGCTATGTACATGTATTCGCAAACAAAGTGTTCTGATCAAGGTCATTTAATCAACAACAAAATATTGAAGTGTCGACTTTTAACTAGATTGTAATTCCCCCTCAACTTATAGGATCTCCCGTAGTTTGTGGTTTGATATGATTTTTATCCAACGAGTTGTGTGTTTTAAGGCTCGGGGATAGAAAACACAAAACGAGTTGGATAAATCATATCAAACCACAAACCATGGGGGATTCTTTTTATCACATAATTTTGTTCACTATAAATGTGTATTTTGTCTTTTTTTCTAATTCAAAGTTCCCTTTCGGTTACCTCGGACCAAATAACGTAATAAATAATATTACGCTGTATGAAATAGTTCGTACAAAAATAAAAGAAAAAAGTATTTCTGCACTTATTTTTTTTTATTCCTGAATGAAAACTTGTTAAAATATATCAATAAAGTACAATTTGACAAATTAAGTCATTCTCTCCATCATGCACATGTATTTGTTTATTTACATTATGTCACGCGGCGTAGGCATACATAGTGTTGATATGAAAACGATATCACATGAGCTATATCAACGGGATAAAGGGGAAAAATATGTGATAAAAAACTTATTCGGAACTTGTTTCGGTTTAGATAGTTGTTAGCCCAAATGATTACTGATATTTTGAACATAAATTGTAAATTATTAGCAATATGTTTTGTCAACAGATTAAAAAGTTTCACCAGTTCAGGGTAACGACAGGTATACGCGGTTAACAAAGGATGCTCACTCCTCTGTGTCACCTGTTATTTCTGCTCTCACTTTGTTCAATTGGAATTCTACTGTTCTCTAAAGAATGTATTTAATCGTATTGATTCTGAAGTAAGAACGTACATGTATAAATTTTAGTTTGCCTAAGAATTTGAATTTAAAAAGAATTCCTTGAATGTTAAAAATGAAATATTAAGTATACATATGTATGCATAAAAGGGATTTTTGTATTATGTTTTTGAGGGGTAAAGATTAACAATTTAAGATTTAACATATAAAATCTGTCCATACAGTGCTTTCTACAATCTAGGTAACTCAATTTCGCATCGATATCTCTTTCGCCGTTTTTGTAATTGTCAAATACAGTTGAAACGGAAATTGGTTTTGTGATTTAGTTTTGTTTTAACGTTAGACCTACGTTCTTATATAAATTCTTAAACACTAAAAAATATTAATTCTCAGATCATACAAGTAGTATGAAGCTGCCTATGTACGAGGCTGCACTGAGGTAATACATACTGTGTTACAGGAACTCAGGGGACCTCTCTGGTGACGGAGTGGATAAACATTAGTTTGTTTCTTCTCTTGCATACGGTCGTAAGACCTGAATAAGGCAGACAGATGCAGGGGATGAACAGCTAAGTGTTTCACAGTACACCATAGCGCGTAAGACCTGAATTAGGCAGTCACGTGGTTGTAGAGAGAGGTGGCATACCACAATAGAGGTGGGGGAAGTGCCAGGATGCAGCAGTAATAGTGGGGAGGCAGGGCAAGAAGAAAATTACTTGCGGGAGACACCCGTTGACCAGTTAGTGGTTGTCCAATCAAGAAGAAACCCCATTGTAATTGTATATATTTGATTATAATAGTATTGGTCAACAAAAATCTGAGTTAACAGGTTAACGAACCTAAGTGTAACGCCTCGGTGACACAAGACATATCACCAAACACACCAAGCTCGGCCGCGTTGCACGTTACATTATTTGGTTGCAAGCTTGTTGATCATGGATTCATATAAGAAAGTGTCAGAAACTATCGAGCGGATGGAGAAGATCTTGGAAAGGATGAGAACGCCAACCAGCAACGATGGTCAGACAAATGCGGCAAGCCAAGAGTCTGGACATGCGACACACAGAACTAATATCAACCGGCCGGTATGTCAGATGATGTGTCATTTGACGAGTACGGCGCACGGCCTAAAGTTAAATTTCCAGACGAAGGCAAACCAAGCTACACACCAATTGCTGGGGTTGACGACGTTGTGACGGGTCATCTATTCGACACGCCAAAACTACAGAGGCAGTCAATAGGGACGGACAATGCCAAGACATGCCATATAATCAAGCCAGCCACGTATGATGGAACCAGTACCTGGCTT